TGGGGTTGTGGCTCAGCGGTAAAATGCTCGACTAGCACATGTGAAGCCTTGGGTTGGATCCTCAGCACCACATAAAAACAAATATATAAGGTATTGTGTCCAACTACAACTAAAAATAAATATTTAAAAAACCCATGTGGATGTATCATCTATTCAAATAATAATTTAAATAAAACTACTGAACATCTACCCGTGCCAAACACTGTTCTAGACACAATAGGGTGGAGAATGAAGCAGAGATAAAGAAGGTGGAATCATTCATTCTCCACTGTTCAGGTTTACGGAACAAATTCAGACCTACTAAAAACAGCTAAGGATAAAAAAAAAAAAGTGTCCATGCATTAAAATAAGCACATGACTAGTATTTGCTGAAAAGTCCACTTTGGCATTTCACCCAAGAGGCTAGCTGCCAGCAGCACTGGATCATGAACATGGTCACCCTGCATGGGCTCGAGAAAGGAGAAGCAAGAGAGTGTTGGGGTTGTCCACACTGGGCTGGAGAGACACTCCCTCTGAGCATCTTTCCAGGGATGCCTCAGGCCTGTTTCCCAAGAAAACAAGCCAGGCTGAATGCCTTTAGGAGAGAGTAATTCGTTGGATAATTCACTGCCATCTGTTTGTCTTCTAAAAAAAGCAGATACTCAAGAGAGAAGAACCCAAGACAGGGAAGAACTAAGACAGGACAAGTACATCAAATTCTGGGGACTTCCCAAGTGGGGGGATGACATGAAGCTGTGTGTGAATCATGAGGCCAGCATGTGCAGCTGTGCCTCCCAGCCACAGAACTGCATGCATCAGYTCACTGAATCACCAAATCCTTCCAGGTAGGTGCTTCATTTCTCCCCCATTTTTATAGATGAGGAAATGGAGATAAATATAAGCTGCAGAGCCAGCAAATGGGGAGTTAGGATTCCATTAGTCTGATCTAGAGCCTGAAGCCTCTTAATCCTTCTTCCTACACCTCTGGGCCCCAGGAGGAGGTGGGTAGGGCTATTCCAGCACCCTCTCTGTGCCCAGGGTCTAGCACCAGTAGCTGCCCATGTGTAATGAACTAAACAATGGAATGCAGAGTGTTGTCCACGACAATCTATTTCTACCCCTAGTTCTTCATGGAGCTTCCAATTCCCCTCAAACCTGGGCCTCCACCCCCCTCAGCTCCACAATTCCTTGGAGTATAAATATAGACTCCCCCTTATTTGCCTGGCCCACAGCCATCCTGGGTTCTGTGTCCTTTTGTACACAAAGCCATTGTCTCTTATGAAAATGACCAGGTTCTTCCCATAAAAGTATCCAGCCTAATTGGGAGGTGGAGAGAGAATACCTCATGGAAAATTATAGAAGCACATTTCTTTGTATTTGAATACTTCCAGGATCTCACTTTGGCAGTGAACCAACTCTGAGTTGGACCCCGCCCCCCATCTCAGCCTCTTTTGTGCTATGGACCTCTTTGAAATCTGTTGAAGCCGGTGGGTCACATAGCTAGTAAGCACAGAATAGATTGTTGTTGTTATTGTTATTGTTGCTTTTTGCAGAACTGGGGATTGAATCCAGGGGCACTCCACCACTGAGCTTTTTTTTTTTTTTTTTT